CCCTTTCTGCAATCAGTGACAGTACCCCAACAAGGCCTATCATAGTTATAGTTGCGATAACTATCGATTTTCCTTTCATAGGTCATTGGGCCTAGGGTCTCGCAGGTTTTGCTACACGAATTTTTGTCACTAATATCTGCTTCATTAACAACGTATGTCTGGAATAGTTCATCGAACTCAGCATAACTTATTCCTGAAAGTATGACAAGTAGTGAGAACTGCATGATATGATAATAAAGAAAACTACCTTTTTTAAATCCGCCCTTAGGATCACAGCGACGGATAGCGTTCGAAGCTAGTTTCATTGCTTCTTTTGTGGCCAATAAGAAGTCTCGTGTCCTCATGGTGAATCCTGCCTCAATTTCGGTAACTTCTGCCTTGTACTTTCCTGTATCGCAACAAATGATGAATCACAAGTGAACTGCGGATACGATCCTTTGAACATCTGTATGATACCTTTTTCGTAGAGTGGCCGCAGTCCATATGACCAAGCAGCCATAATAAATCCTCGTAATTCAGTAAGGGCAACAGTGTAATAAATTTGATAAATTACTTGTTGATGTGAGTTTCCTTCATCGCAGGTCAGCATCTCATTCTCCTGTGACCATTTCCCATTACTCAATTCACTGTTCTGTGAAACGAGAGGAAGACGAATAAATATTCAACTTACCCTTTCGTTCTTCAACATTGTAAGAAACAAACTATCACGGATATGTGATGTCCTTAGCGGAACAATCAATCGATGCATTTGGCTAAGCAAGGTCTGTAAACCGAGTGCCTGCTCTCCGGTCGTCGTCCGGATAAAGTCTTTCAAGGTCTCGGCGTTGAAACTCTTACGATCTTTCGAATACTTGAGGTAGTTGTCCCACATGTGATCAATGCCTACAATAATCTTGTGCAACTCCATGAAAGTTGTATCAAGTTTCTGAATAAGTGTAATTCTGGAAACGAGACTTTCCACTATGACATCCAATCTCTGATCCAATCTCGATTCGAAACCATCAATTTTGGTCGATATTTCAGCTACCTGCGCCAATATCTGGTCTATTTTCTCGCTGGTATCGTCCATAAATGATTCGTACGCATCATAGCCTGCTTTAATTTTGCTTCCTACTTGGTAGCCAAACTTTGCCAGTTTCCACAGATCACTCAAACTTGGCATCATAAATGGTGCCACTTGGACCAGTGGCACCAATATTATCAACCGGAGTAATAACATTTCGCTCAATTGTTACTCGCGAGACTAAATGACAAGTTGACAACTTCCTCAACTTGACGACGGGTTTTTATATAAAGTCGAAATGTGATACGATGGAGACGACGACATGATATCAGAACTTTATACCTCATTTGTTATATCTAATCTTTTTTGTTGTCACATTTCTGTAAATTCTTTATGGTCGACAGAATTCATAAAAATCGAAGAAACTTTATTATTTCGCTGTAAAACATGGTTCAACTGAGAATTATTTTATTCATATTTATGGAGTTGCACGGTCACATTTGTACCTTATGAAATGACAACGCACATGTTGACACAATTACGGCTGTCATGCTGTAATTATTTCGGTATCACGATAAGGTACCCACTCTAGTAAAGTTAGGTTGAAATGCCGCAAAAAATAGATGATTGTCGCAACGTAAACTGCATTAGTGGACATTATCTCAAGTTTATTTATCAACTGTATCATCATTTTCAGCTGTTCTGCTGCTTATACAATATTGTCATTGATTGAGATATCGAAAAATTCACACAATCACAGTTGAAAAGTCTATAATCGGAGCTTGCATGCCATTAAGTTAAGATGATCATGGCATCCTGTACTACTCATCACATCAAAAATACAACCAATAATTATAACTCTCTTATACAGTTCTCTGATCGTGCAATATCCACAAAAATGTGCGAAACCTATTCATTTCCCTTGCTGCTGATAGTTAACCGGAAGGGAAAATTAATTTGGAATATGTATAATGCACAAAATATTGATTGCTAATTTTTATTGCTCATTGTAAGTCATCGATTCATACATAATTATTAACATACAAGTTTCAGATATTTTGAATGGGAAAATGATACTGAAAACATACTGGAGCATTAATTAGGACGTGTTGGAGAATATAAAGGTGCTCTATAAACATTCTGGTACGACTTTTTCAAATCGTCTGGCACTGTGGCGTTGAGATTATCAATAAAATTGAGAGAAAACAAACGCAGCGCAAGATATCCTCCATAGAGTCCATCTCTGTGTCCTTTGTGGAAGAGGCCAACACCAGTGAGTGGAGCACTCGGTACTGTTATTACCTCCTGGATATCCCAAAATGGAATCGTAGTTTGTCCAGCGTCTTTTTTCGTATCTGATTCTCGGAAGTTCACGAAGAGATTCGGCCGCATTGTTGGTAGATTTAGGGCATGCTTCGTAGGAACATCGGGCTTGTCAAATTTCACTTCAGCCCTATTAAAAATACGTCAATAATCAACAAGTTTCATTAGCCTTTCGTCAATTAATAACGCACCTAGTTGCTTTGTTATCAAGGGCAATCCACGTGGCCTTACTCCTCCATGAAATTATCAATTTTCCTGTTTCAAAATTATACGGTGCTGCCCAGATCAAAATGCGGATTGGATTTTCTTTTGTTTTTGTCACAACTTCCGCATGTGCGAATCGAACTCCTGAAATTCCATTGAAGATTCATCATACTAAATAACAAATGATTGCATCGTATTTTCTTACCCACAACAACATGTCCGGGTGGGGCAGAAACATCATCTAAATTTATCCTCCTCTGTTCACCCCGAACAAAATCAAAATCTTTTCCCTGCGTTTGCAATATGCGTCGTTGTCCATTAACTATGTAATATGCTCCTTGATAATTTAAACGTTCATATGCAAAAGTTTCAAGCTTAACCCATCTATCACTTCCTTTCAAAATGGTAGCTTCAGGTTGAAGTTTTCCTTCTCTTATTTGAAGATGGATCATTTTCTCCTGCTGAACTATTCTGACGCCCGTTACCACCCTGGAAAATAAATGGTCTTATAATCAATAATAGAATAATTTGCATTTATGAATAAATAAACAATTAACATGTTATTTCTGGTGTCGGATTCGGCAGGCCTGAAACTGATAGCCCTTTTCGCTGCACTCCAAGCTCTGTCGCCCTCACAGGTACAAATGCAGTAGTCGCATTTGTAGAATCCACGGATCCATCCTTTTGGCCAATTAGTTTGACCTGGGCAGCCACCGCTATTGTCCCCTGAAATAGTTCCATCATCCTCTTTGAACCAGAAGTATCGCCTGGAGTTGCGAGTCGTCGAGTACTGAGCAAAACATCCAAATATTAATTATACCAACAGATTGTGACTATCAAGTAGACTGTCCCATAATTACCGTATCACAAACAGTCATTTTTCCTCCACCATATCTACAACCCGTGATACTACCCCAGCAAGGCCTGTCATAGTTGTAGTTGAGATAGGTATCAGTCTTCCTCCGATATGTCTGAGTGCCAATGGATCCACAGTCAGACTTGCACGAGTCATCGGGATGTATATCAGCTTCATTGACAATATACGTTTGGAAGAGTTCATCCATCTCCACAAATGATTGTCCTGAAATTATGAAACGTCAGACAAAATTATTTAAATGATAAATTCAAATGAATAGCACAAGCAACCTTTCTTATGTCCACCCTTAGGATCACAGCGACGAATGAAATTCGCAGCTATTTTCATTGCCTCCTTCGTGGCTAATAAATAGTCTCGAGTTCTCAATGTGAATCGTGCTTCGATTCCACTGACTTCTCCAACGAACTTTCCTACAAGATTA